GAAAAAAAAGAAATTGTGATTTATGTGTCGTTAGAGTTTTCGATTATATTCTGAAATAATGTGTAATACTGTGGTTATTCGAATATGTTATCGTAAAGGGTAGAAGCACTGATTTAGACCAATGATATTATAAGCATAAGTCAAAGTAATAACGATGTAATAATAATAATAATGGTACTAAAAAATAATAGTCGTAATATTTATAGAAGGGAACTGTTAATTATGATAATGATAAGGGTGCCAATAATAATGATAATAATGCTGATACCGAGTGAAATGATAATGATGCTTACACTGATACCATTAGCTAAGATGGTGTTATTGAAGATAAATGATAATGATAAGATTGATAATAATGATAATAATAATCATAATAAAATATCGCCATAGTAGTAATACCAATGATAAAAATAATGAAAATGAGAAATATAATAATGATAAAAAGATTATGATAACAGTGATAACAATGATCATGATGATAATAAGAATGAAAATAATAACAATAAGGATGACCAACCGAAAAGCAACAACAACAATAATAACGACAATAATAATGAGAAATGTAAAAAGAAATAATGATACGATCCATGTCGATAGTAATAATTATAATGATGATTACAATAACGATCATAACAATAATGATACTGAAATGATAATGATAACGATTAAAATAGTAATAATAAGAATGATAAAAATTATAGCGATAATATCAATAATAATGATATTAGCAATTATAATTATGAAAATTGTGAGAATCATAATAAGGATAACAATAATGATAATGATAATGATAATAAAACAATGATAATCATAATGATAATAATAATGATAATAATAGTAATAATAATAATTATTATTATTATAACAATAGTGATAATGGTAATGATAATGATAATAACAATTGTTATTATAATAATAATAAAAATAATGATAATAATAATAATAACAATAATAATAATGATGATAATGATAAAAATAATAGTAATAATAATAATAATAACTATAATAATAACAGTAATAGTAATAGTAATAATAATAAAGATAATGATAATGAAAATAATAATAATGAAAACAGTAATAATAATTATAATGATAATAACAACAATAATAATGATAATAATAATAATAATAATAATAATAATAATAATGATAATGATAATGATAATGATAATAATGATAATAATAATAATGATAATAATAATAATAATTATAATAATAATAGTAATAATAATAATAATAATAATAAGAAGAAGAAGAAGAAGAAGAACAATAATGATAATAATAGTAATGATAATTATAATAATAACAATAATGATTTCAGTAATAACTGTGATAGATGTACCTGTACTGTTAATGCTAACAATAGTTGCATAACGGTATCAGTCTAATACTAATGATAAAGATACACAATAAAAGCATAATATCATACCATAGCATAATAATAGTTTAGAACCAAAGGGTGATAACGGTAATAAAGATAATTAGAATAACCAAAAAAAAATAATGACAAAAACCAACAAAAACAACAGCATCATTACCGAACATCACAAAACAAATAACTCAGATGATAATCGGAAGAACAAAAGCAAAAAACACAACGTATAATATAGTGTACATTCCCTCCAGAAGGTCGACTTGCCTCAACGGGCTATCGAGATCTGATAAAGAGAGCATCTCTTGGGATGGCACTGGGAGGAGGGAGGAGGAGGAAGAGGAGAGGAGGGAGGAGGAAGAGAGGAGGAGGGAGGAGGAGGAAGAGGGGAGGGAGGAGGAGGAGGAAGAGGGGAGGGAGGAGGAGGAAGAGGGGAAGGGGAGGAGGAAGAGGGGAGGGGTGGAAGAGGGGAGGGGGAAGAGGAAGAGGAGGGAGGAGGAAGAGGAGGGAGGAGGAAGAGGAAGGGGGAGGGAGATGGGGGGGGGAGGAGGAGGGAGGGGTGGAAGAGGGGAGGGGAAGGAGGAAGAGGAGGAAGAGGGGTGGGGAGGAGGAAGAGGGAGGAGTGGAAGAGGGGGGAGGAAGAAGACAGGAGGGGAGGAAGAAGAGAGGGGAGAAGGAAGAGGGGGAGGAGGAAGACGGGAGGGGGAAGAAGAAGGTAGGGGAGGATGAAGAGGGGGGAGGAGGAAGACGGGAGGGGTAGGAAGAAGAGGAGGGAGGAGGAGGAAGACGGAAGGGGAGGGAAGGAGGAAGAGGGAAGGGGGAAATAGAGGGGAGGGAGCAGGAAGACGAGAGCAATGGAAGGGGTTGAAGAAGGAAGAAGGTAGTGAGGAAGGGGGTGTGGGAGAGAGAGTGAAGGGGGAAGGGGAGGGGTGGGGTCAGCCAAGGGGGAGGGGGAAGGGGCCACGGGGGGGGAGTAGAGAAAGGGCACAATGGGGTGCCAGGGGTCAAAGGAAGGGGTGGGGGGGAGGGTAAAGGGCTCTTGTGGGAGCCATGTTAATGCCACGAACGGCAGACCGAAATTGCATATGGTTACAATTAGCATTATGCATACAGGAGTTTGAGAACAAGGTACGGGCGCTGCCTTGCTACGCTTCCTATTCCCTTGTCTTCCCTTTTCTTCTCCTCCTTCGTCTTCTTCGCCATCTTCTTGGTCTTCGTGTTCGTCTTCATCTTCTCTATACGGCTACATCATTCTCCATTTGGTCATGCTCCACTGTTCCGGGTCTTCGTTGCCAGGTACTCTGCTAGTAACACATTTTTTTTTCCTTTCTTCCATTCAGCATGTTATTGTTCCTCACAATGCTAGCCCTACAGTCTGTTTACCTTACTTCCCTTTGTATTTTATTCTCCTATGCCGTGTGGCAGGGAAGTCCTTAAAAGAAAATACAGTCTCCTTTTTACTTTCAGCTTCTTTGTTACACCTGTTGTATGCACCGTGCAGTTTTATGTTGTCTGTGAACATAACTTTTTTTTCTTTCTTTCTTTCTCTTTATTTCTTTCTTCTACACTTTCCCTCTTTAAAGTGTGCAAAAAATCTCAGATACAAAAAATGATACTAGTAATAATGATAATAACGATAGTGATAATGATAGAAAAAAATATGATGATAATGATAATAATGATAACAGTAATAATAATAATAATAATAATGATAATAATAATGATAATAATAATAATAATAATAATAATAATAATAATAATAATAATAATAATAATAATAATAATAATAATGATAACAATGATAATAATAATAATAATAATAATAATAATAATAACAATAATAATAACAACAATAATAACAATAACAATAACAATAACGATAATAATTATAATAACATTAATGATAATGACGATGATAATAATAATAAAACCAATATTCCTGTTTCTCTTGCACCTCCCTAACACACGTTAAACGGGAGCACGAGAGAATGAGATCGCTCTTTCGGACACAGACACACCGAGAATCTTTACAACGAATAAATTACGAAAGTTTTTAGGTCACGTAACGAGTGCATCTCTCCTGCGCTTGTGTTCCAGCTCATAAAGTTCTTGACACAATATATACTGTTAAGATTCGAAGTGCGTTTTAAGAGCGGTTAGACAGGTGTGCTTGAAGAAAGAGAGAGAGGTGGGAGGAGAGACAGAGAGAGAGGTGGGAGGAGAGAGAGACAGAGAGAGAGGTGGGAGGAGAGAGAGAGACAGAGAGAGAGGTGGGAGAAGAGAGAGAGAGAGAGAGAGAGAGAGGAAAAGATGGAGAGAGGGAAGGAAGGAGAGAGGGAGGTAGGGAAAACAGAGTGAGGGAGGGAAGGAGGGAGAGAGAGAGAGAGAGAGAGGGAGAGAGAGAGAGAGAGGAAAAGATGGAGAGAGGGAAGGAAGGAGAGAGGGAGGTAGGGAAAACAGAGTGAGGGAGGGAAGGAAGGAGGGAGGGAGGGAGAGAGAGAGAGAGAGAGAGAGAGAGAGAGAGAGAGAGAGAGAGAGAGAGAGAGAGAGAGAGAGAGAGAGAGAGAGAGAGAGGAGAGAGAGAGAGACAGAGGAGAGAGAGAGAGGAGAGAGAGAGAGAGAGAGAGAGAGAGAGAGAGAGAGAGAGAGAGAGAGAGAGAGAGAGAGAGAGAGAGAGAGAGAGAGAGATGAGGCTAAGAAGTGAAGGGAGAGGTTTATGGAAATGGGGAAAGGGGGGAGAGGGAAGGGGTGGGTGATGGGCGTGGTCGGGAGGTGACCTGTGGGCGTGATGGGCGAGCATCATGCATAAGTACTGGGCCAACGAAGAAGAGGGAAAGAGAAAGGGAGGCAAGAGGGAAGGAACATGAATAAGAAAAAGGAAGAGGAGAAAAAGGAAAAAAATAGAAAGAAAGGAGAATGGAGACGAAAGAAGAGAGGCGTGAAAAGGAGGGAAAGACAAAAGAAAAATCCAAAGCACAAGAAAAACCAGAGATACAAAGAAAGAGAAAAAATAACGGAAAGAGGGCAAAAAAAAGAGAGAGGGAGAGAGAGAGAGAGAGAGAGAGAGAGAGAGAGAGAGAGAGAGAGAGAGAGAGAGAGAGAGAGAGAAACAGTCAGAGAGACAGACGAAGCGTTCAGACAGAAAGACAAACAGACAGAAAGACAGACGAAACGTGACAGTGAGAGCCAAGCAACCAAGCCGACAGACACGGAGAGAGCGCGCGCGCCAGAAAGCCGCCGCCGTACCCAGGAAGGTGTAAGCCAGGGAGCCGATTCTGCCTCGAGATACCGTCCTGAGAGCGGAAATTTTACAACCCTTCGTGGCGGTTTTCAAATACGGATATTCTGACGCAAAAGGGGAGGGGAAAATACTGCGATTCATCTTCCTAATTTCGGACAGGGAAGAGGTCTTAACAAGCCTCTTAGTCTTCGTTTGAAGAGCTTGGGATCGATCTTGCTGCAGTTTTTTTTTTTTTTTTTTTTTTTTTTAGGGGGGGTGGGGGTAGGGGGTAGGTATTGGGGGAAGGGACTCGAAGGAAATGGGGGAGGGGTAAGAGGGGGAAGAGGGGGTGGTATAGAGAATGCGCAGGAGGTGGGGAGTAAGAGGGAGGAGGTGGGGGGGGGGGGGGGAGTGCGTGCGCCGTTCCGCTGATCCAAAAAATTGAGAACGAGATAGTTTTTTTCTCTCTCTCTTCTTTTTCTTTTTCTTTCGAGGGGGTGGTGGACTTGAAGAGAGGGGGGGGGGGTGGAGGGACCAAGAGGAAAAAAAAAAAACGACTGGAAGAAGGAAGAGTCGTGTAAAGCGAAAGGGAAGACAATGAGAGATAAGAAATGTCAGAGGAAGAAGAGACAAAAGAAAAGAGGGAGATGGGAGGGATGGTAAGGTGAGAGAGAGAGAGAGAGAGAGAGAGAGAGAGAGAGAGAGAGAGAGAGAGAGAGAGAGAGAGAGAGAGAGAGAGAGAGAGAGAAAGACATGAGAGAGAGAGACAAACAGAGACAGAGAGATCCCGAGACAAACACACAAACGCACACACGCACAAAGAAACAGAGCAAGAGAAAGGAAGGAGGAATGGTCATCATATCACGTAACAGACCAAAGCATCGTTGAGAACAGCTGGACGCGAAGCAGAGAACTCCTGGTGACCAGAGCCGTTCACTTTGTTTATTCAGCCACATACTGGTGCAAAATCAGTGTGTCTCTTACTCTAAATACACCCGGAGAAAGAGAGAGAGATATCATGAGTAGATGGGAGAGAAAATAGGTCTGGGGGAGGGGCAAGGAGGTTAGGAACGAAAGAGAAAGAGGAAAAAATAAAACAAAAGCAAAAAAAACGACAAAGAAAAGGTGAAGGAAAGGTCTAAGAGAGAAAAAAAATGAAGAAAAGAAGTAATGTATATATCGACATGCAACATTGCAAACCAGAAGGTACATACACAAGTCCCAGCAGCAAACTAAACACAAACCAGATCCAGTGAAGAGATACAGCAATAAGAGAGAGGAAGACAGTGTGTGTGTGGGGGGGGGGGAGGAGGTAATCAGGGAATGGATGGGAAGGGAAGGGAGATTTGGAGAAAGGAAAGGGGGGAGGAAGGGAGGGAGGGAGGGAGGGAGAGAGAGGAGAAGGGAGAGGGGAGACACCCACCTTACGTGACCTCGTTCGAAGGTGAAAGGCCTACAAGGAACTCCCTGACCCATCTCTCGGGCCTGAGGTCACACTGCATTTGAAAGTTATTATCTCCGCAGCCAAGGATGGAAATTGAAATCGCTTGTTGGTCATTAATGTTGCTTGTCCGCCGATTATTGAATTACTGGAGATTACTAAAGCCGGTTATGTCGTTATTTCGTGCGCGTCGATGAAGGATACCGTCTTTATTAAACTAAAGTCAATGTGTAAGAGGCATTAAGAAACATTTAATGGATATTCTCATATTGTTTCGTGTGTTACTCAAAATGTGCTTATTTGATATCAGACTTATCATCATATATATATATACATATATAAATATGTGTGCGTGTGTGTATTATGTATGTGTGGGTATAAACATAGGTATTATAATTTTATTGCTTCATAATAGGATTATTGCTTATTATTGATGTTTTATATTTGCAATCACTCATCATTTTTGAAACTGATATTATCAATATCATTATTGCAATTATAAGTAATAGTAGTAATAGTTTTCCCATTACCATCGATATCATTGGTGGTGCTGTTGCTATTGTTGTTGTTGTATCTATCTCGTTAATATTATTATGCTATTATTGCTTGTGATTTACCCGTCCCTCCGTCCCTCAAGCTTACAAATTATGGGTAAAATCATATTCCATTTGTTTGTGAATTTCATATCTAAATGTTAAACCTAGGATCCTATTCTATATAACTATGTATTTTTGTCTGTATGTTAAAATGAACAACATAAACTCTAAAGAAAAAAAAAACGCACATTACGAATCTATGAGAACGCAATTCTAACCCTGTTATTGTCATCATTTGCATTAATATTGTTATTATCGTTATTGTTAGTGTTATTATTATCATCACGGTTGCTATCATTATCATTATCATAGATTTCTTATCATCATTCTTCAAGAGATTTATTATTTACGTGACTATACGAGAAGAAAGGTTAAGAAGAAACGTAGGAGGGTTAAAGGAAAGGAAGGAGGGGGGGGGGATGAGGAAGGGGAAGGGAAAACGAAGAAGACTTAAAGAAGAAGAAAAAATGATAGATAATGCGAAAGGGAGGGGAGGGGAGGCGAAAAAATGGGAATGGAGGAGGGAGGGAAGAGAATAAGGGAGCGAAGATGGGGGAGTTTAAGGAAGAAGAAAAGGGAAGTGGGAGAGGGCAGTGGAGGGCTTAAAGAGGGAGAGAAGAAACGAATTTAAAGACGAATTGAGAATGTAATCAGGAAGCAAACCGAGAAAGGGAAAGGGAAAGAGAAAGGATAAGGGAGAGGGAAAGGATAAGGGAGAGGGGAAGGAAAAGAGAGAGGGAAATTAAAAGGGAAAAGGAAAGGATAAGGGAGAGGGAAAGGAAAAGGGAGAGGGAAAGGGAAAGAGAAAGGATAAGGGAGAGGGAAAGGATAAGGAAGAGGGCAAGGAAAAGAGAGAGGGAAATTAAAAGGG